CCAGCTGCAGCATAATTTTCAGTAATGCAGGTTACTGTACTGTATACTGTGTTCAGGGACCTTTTTAATTTGACTTTTGAAACTAAGTGCTGAAGACAATTTTCACATTTTACTTGCATTTGTTTATATGAAATGAATATCTGTCCTGTTTTGATGAATTGATACTGTATTATTTGTATATATTTTTCTCTATAGCCTGCAAAACTTCAGCGTTTTTACCTTTTGGTATTGGAAGACACAAGTGGAATCAATCCGGATCAACTTGGACAAGTGAGCATTCTTGGTTGATAAAGAAACAATTAAGGGTTTTACCTATTGTACGGCTTGATAGATTATAAAGTTCTTATGGCTGAATGACTTGTTAAAATCTGTTGTTGAGGTGAAAATTGGTGAATTCAATCCATTAAATCTGTTTCTTTTAATTTCTTTGTTAAATCACTGTATATGTTTCATCTGTGATGTCTTGTTTGAAACTTTCCATCAATATTTGAATCAGTATGTTATTTAATTTTTTTATTTGATTTCAGGCCCAGTTTCATGAGACTGATGTGTTTGAACATCCCACTGTTTACGAGGAGGCTGTGCCACTCTTGAAATTCACACTGTCCATGTAAGGTGTTCTTGTTCTTAATAACCTTTTATTCATGTTGTGTTCATTTTATTTGTAGAAAATACCACCAATGGTCCCTTTAAATTAAAAGCAAATATAAACAGCAAGTTGACATGTCACTTTACCAGACCAGATGCCACCATATAGCTTCAAATAGCATAACTTAAAGGAATATGAAATAATATTGATTCCTGTTTTTCCAAAAAATTATATTTGAATAGGTATTTTTTCGTTTTTCTTTTTCTGTGCTACATATATGAATGACCCTTTGTCTTTTCTGCCAACTCTTGTTTGAATAATCATGCTATTGCATTCACAGCAGTAATGCATCATAAAGTTGAGGAGGGTGCAGTTTGAAAGCTTTCTTTGACTGACAGTGTTATTAATCTGGTTTATCCTGTAGCATACGGACTTTATTTGAGTCGAATATAAAACTGGTAGTTATGATCTTATGCATCACAGGGAATCTACATTCACTTAATATATATCTTCAAAATAAATTTCAACTGGCAATCTTTAATACTAAATTTACCATACCAACTGTCTATAAATATGTTGTTTTCTGGGAAATTTCTTTCCTTCATGATTGCTGTTACAGTTGCTCACTTTGTTTCTAATGTATTAGGCAAAGGTTGATGTATGCCTGTGGGGTGCAAGATTTCAAGCTAAGGGACCTGGTTGAACCAAGTGAGTAATACAGCAACTGATAAATATAACAAAAGTTTAATATCCTGTTCAGTCATACAGATCCAATTAATTTAATTGTGGTTGATAGTTTATGGAATTGTTTTTAAAATATATATGATAAAGGTAACTGGGATAATTAGAAGAACCATGTTAAAATTTTGATATATAGTCCACTAGACAAGGTTAATATCCTGTACATTGTTAACTGGAAATGTTGCAATGATATATGATCTTTTATTTTATGTACAAGATTGAATATAATAATGTATGGTTTGGTATTGTATAAAAGTATTTTAATTTTTTTTCAGAACCTAAGAGAACAGTCAGATTGGTCAGTGCTTTGATCAACTTCAGCAGGTTTCAAAACCAAAGAATGGAAGAAGTTGAAAGACTTAAGAATGAAAATGTGAGCAAGTGAAATTTGATATTTCTCTTTTATTTATTTATTTATTTATTTATTTATTTATTTATTTATTTATTTATTTATTTATTTATTTATTTTTTGAAAATGTTTTTTTTTAATTTGCTCTAATGATGCAGGATGTAGGTTTGTTGCTGTACATAATATGTTCTCTCCCTCTTTTTCTCCCCATATACATTTATTTATTTCTTGGTGTTTTTATTCACATCAGGCAGCAGTGAAAGAACAGCATGAGCAGTTATTAAGAGTTAATGATGAGTTAAAGACAAAGATTAACCATATTAGAGCATCCAGGGCAGAACAAGAACCAGAATTGAAAAAGGTAAACTGAGGTTACATACATTTTGTTGTCATGAATATAACGGTCCATATCTGAACCATACCTAATTATTTAATAAACTTCTTTTTCATATTTGGGAAAGTACTTCTTAAGATTTTGTGATTTTATATTTTAAAACTGACTTGCTTTATTCTTGACTTTAATTGATTTGTGAATTATAATGTTTATTTAATTTGAAATACCAACATATGTTTTCAAAAAAGAATACATTTTCATTTCTTTCTTTCTGCAGCTTCAAGGAGAATTTGAAGAAATGAGTATGAAAATTGAGAAGCACCACAAAGATCAACTTGCTCTGCAGAAGACACTAAAAGAGATGAAAGAGGGCATTGCAGAGAAAAAGGCTTCCATTGTTAGCAACTTAAAATAGAAACTTTTGAATCAGATTTTCTATATTGCTTAGTTAAATTATATCTTAGAATCAGATCACATATCTTTATACATTGGAAGGTAGTTATAAGTAAAGAGAAAACACAGCTTATTGCTCTGTATTAACATTGGTTTCAAAACAGTCATATTAGCATATGCTATGTCAGAAGTATTGCAGTGGCTTATACCCCCTTTACACTGGACGGCGTCCTTTCTGCGTCCTTTCTGCGACCATGAAATTTGGCATCGCTGTGGTCTTAATAAGGAGGCACGAGCATTAATTTTGTATCAGAATGAATGCTCAATGATCGGCCAGTTGTCGGCACGTAAAATATTATAATTTTTAAACTCTCAAATGGGGCCGTACTGCTGGACGCAGAAAGGACGCCGTCCAGTGTAAAGGGGGCTTTAGTAATTCACATGCAATTTTTAGGATCATCTTAAAGTCCAAATGCTAAGTGCCAAAGAAGAGGGTGATCGGCTATCAAGGCAGATCGTCCAGTCCCCTGAGCGAATGAAGACAGAAGGGGAACGCATGAGAAACCAACTGATGCAGCTGAAGATGACGAAAGAAGAGCGACAGCAGAGGGGTCTGGAACTTAGGCAACAGGTGGAGCGTCTGGAACAGATCGACAGCCACTGTGAACAGGGGTTCAAACTCATCACTGGAATAGATGCAGAACTGGAGAGGGAAAGGTACCATCAGCAGTTTTATCTCTTGTGGATGGCATCATTGTGTATTAGATACAGTATGAGTCATGGGGATGGATGTTATAGTCAGTTATCTGGATGCTGTATGCACCTTTTGAAAACTAATATAATTGACATACATATTCCTTTTTCTTTCCAGCTGAATTTCTTCTACACCACAGCTATAACAAAATTTGTAAAATTTTATTTCTGTCATTTTCTTTCCTGTTGCAGGAGAGTTTTAGATCTTATGATTTCCATCATTTTACATTCAGGAAAGATTTAATTTATAACTTCTGACATTTCTCTCCATATTTTAGAGAAATCCTGGATTTAATATTTTCTGTCGTTTAACTTAATTTTTCAGAGAAGTCCTGAATTTCATAATTTGCATCATTTCATTTCATTTCATTTCTTATTACAGGAAAGTGCTAGATTCATTTCACTTTCAGGGAAATGCTGATTTTATGATATCTGAAATTTCTCTCCATATTTCGGAGAAATCCTGGGTTTTATTATTTCCGTCATTGCACTTTATTTTTCAGAAAAATCCTAGGGTTTATTATATCTGTCATTTCACTTTATTTTTCAGAGAAGTCAAGAATTTCTATTTTCCCTCATTTTGTTTAATTTCTTATTACCAAGAAGTGCTAGATTTGATAATTTCCATTAATTCACTTTATATTACAGAGAAAGAGGCTTGCATTATTTAATTTCCATCATTTCAATTCACATGTACAAAAAAATGTCAGATTTAATAATCCCATCCCATATTTCAGGGAGGTGTTGGCAGAAGTGACCAATATCAGGGACAGGGTCCAGAGCCAGAAAGACGTCCTGAGAGACTTGACTGCCAAAGAGCAGCAGCTGCGGCGCATGCTGTCCACCAAACAGGAGAAGATGGCCAAGTTAAATATCCAACTTCAGAACAAGGCGTCTGCTGGCATGGAGACTCTGGAGCAGTACAAACAGTAAGCACACAAATGTTGTGATCGGAGGCCTGTTTACACAGGAGTTTTTTGACCAAATTTGGTCTCAACTTTTAGACCAAAATAATATTTTTTTTTCGACTGAATACGACATTGAAGTAGCTGTTTTGAAAGAAAAGAGAGAAATAGCATCTGTTTAAGACCAGTATTGAAGTGGAATAGTGTAGATTTACAGTGAACTGAATTATAGAAAATCTTGTTTTTTTTTTTTTTAAAGGGAAAGGGCACATTATGCAGCCTTGCAAAGTGAAGATGAATCACAGAAAAAGGCTATAGAACAACAAAAGCAAGCACTAATGGAAGAAGCAGAAAACAACAGGAAACAACATGAGAAGCTTATGACTGAGATGGCTCATGAAAAGTCGCAGTTGCTGGAACAGGTATATCGAGTCTTTGAGATAATTTTGTCTGCAACACGCTGCCAATATTAGTGCTGATGAACCTGGCTAGTTGGCCTATAGGCCCGATTTTGTAGAACACACCCTGCAGTACAAATTGTTAGTAAAATTATTTCATCTGTCCCAGTTTTTTTCCCCTGAAAACTTTGATAATTTTTTCTTTTTTTCAGTTGGATTCCTACCATACCACACTAGGTATCAAATGGCAAGAAGTGGCACAGAAGATCCAGGCTAATTCATAGAGGATGATTTGAGTGCCAAGTTTTGCCAAAATTCAAGAGGGACTCTTTATCTACCTTGATCTTAAGCGTAGACATCTGGGTACTGGGTGTGCAAACCACCACATACGAACACTGCCATCCCCATGAGACATAGCTTCTGTCATGATTAAAATCGCAAATAATAAGACACTTTATATTCAAACCGCTAGATACTTAAAGCAGTACTATTACTTCGTTTGGGAAATGTTTATGGCAGTTCGAGATTACTGATTGTTATTGTAATCACCATCTCTATTTTTGATCAAAACTTGGTGTAGAATTGTCACCCGCTGTATTCCTAGTCAGGAATTTTTGTCATCTGAACACCCTTTTAGATTTGCTGTATATTCTGTAAAAAAGTAAATGCCAAAACAGATTTTCATGAAAGGCTATTGTAAATATATCATTTTAGGGACAAGCCTGGAAATAGTGTGAAGGTTATTGTATATTGAGTAAACCAAATTAAGTTGTTGGCAGGTTATAGTGTACCAATATATGGTGTGCCAATAACGTAATGACACTCAAAATATTTGCAAGAGGTTATAGTTTTTGATTATATTCAGCATATATCCCTTGTTGTACTATTTTCTTTTCCCATTTTCAAGCTTTTGCACAGACACAGTTATGAATTAGATTGTTCATGATTCCAAAAAAAAAGGATTTCCTGATGTATTAGTAATTATAGTAATCACTTACTTTGGAATTAAGTATGAGTGCATCATAAAGCTGAATGAAGTCGTCTTTACATTTGTTAGTTTTAGCTGGCATGATCTCTTTTTTGTAAGTCATTCATTCGTAATTGTACATAAATGGTTGATGCAGTGACAGACTGTTGTTAAAAATTGCAAGTTACATTAGATTGCAAAAGACGTGATAGTAAAACACCTCTTTTATTATGTAAATATACACATGTACATAGGTTTACAAAAATATCTATATAATAAATAGCATTGTTCAAACCTAACATTCAGTTGTTCTTCATTGTCTGAGACCATCAGGGAATTTGATTACAGGAAACGATAATTACAACTAAAATTTGTGTTCTTTGCCAAATGATAAAAAAATTATCAGTGTGACAGTGATGCCTGTCAACTTTCCCCATCTTTCTTATTATAGTTTCTGATCTTTGGTTTCTGAGATTTCTTTGGCATTAACTTCCCTGCTGCTTTATCTGACAGTTTTTTGTCTGGTTTGCCTTTGTGGTCAACAAAGCTGGGTTTAGTTCCCTGAACTGACCATTGGCTCGATGGGCCACTTTGACCGTGGTCACTTTTTCTGTGGTGGGTATCATACTGGTCACTTTGTGGCCAAACTTGTCCATTGTGTGATAGCTGATCTGAGACTAAAACAGGAGTAAAAAAATTATAAAAAATAATACAATGAGTGCAGAATGCCCTATGCTAGCTATATATATATATATATATATATATATATATATATATATATATATATATATATATATATATATATATATCATACCCAGTGTTCAGAACCAAGGCTTCATTTTCAAATTTCTAGATATATAAGCAATAAAAAAATTAACTAAATACACACACACACATGGTATATTGTATAATTGCCTCATAGTTTCCTAGATTTTAAAAAATGAAGAAGCTGGCACCATCAGATCAGATTCTGAAGTTGAAGCACCTGTACTAGTGTTAACCACAACAGAAGTACTCATTTAATTGAAAAGACATTTGAGGTAAAGCTATCATGTCAATGACTATTATAATGATAACATTTCTTTCTCAAGCTTTCGAAGTAAATATATAAACACGTAAATCTGTATTTTTCATAAGTTTAGGAGAACAAAATTATGACCATACCAATCCCCACATTGCTGTCCCTGGGGGTGAACAGAGATGGGCTCTGGCCTTCATCTAGCATCCTCCACACCTCCTGCAGGGACTCTCCCCCCAGGGATGACCCTGTTGCCAAGGGTACAAAGGGGGAGGAGGTCCGCTGCAGACCATTCTGTCCTGGCTGACCTGGGGCAGTGGAGGGTCTGGAGTCTGGAACTGGAACGGGGTCCCAGGTCCCTGGCGCACTTACCGGTCTCACTGAAGTGAAATAATAATAATAATAATAATAATAATAATAATAATAATAATAATAATAATTATAATAATAATAATAAAGTCTTATTTACTTGGTTGTTTAGAACTGAAATAGATTATTATGATGCAAGCCCTGTTGTTTTTCAGATATATCTCATATTTATTTTTATAGTCACAAATACCCCCCCCCACATCATTTTTGTTCCATACCTGGATAGCCATATTGGTAATTCTGTTCCACATCAGACTGCTGTCTCTTCAGAATGGACTGTGGTCTGTACTCCTCTTCCTGGCTCTCACTGGAGCTGGGTTCTAGAAGCATGGCTGTCATGGCTTCATCTCCTGCAGGTGCCCTTCTTTGCTGGGCTAATTCCTTCATGATATAAAGATGTTATTTTTTATTTTACTTACATTTACAAGATATACCAGAACAACAGAAAGTGCACAGTTACAATGAATACACAAAGATGATGTTGTTCTGTTCCTTGAAAACAACATAAACTACAACGCAATTTTCCTGACAATATAACAATGAGATACCTAAGTACAAAAGATTGTTTTATCTTTGTTATATTTGTAAACAAGATGTAAAGCGTGGATCAGTTTTGCAAGAGAATTAAAGAACATATCCGTCTCAATTTTAAAGCTATTTTCATGAAAATAAATAAATAGATAAATAAATGCAGTTTCCCTTTCCACCATCTCCTTTCTAACAAATCTTTTCGTTTCCAATCTATTTTACCTGCTTGGTGAGTTGATACTGCAGCCGTTCAAGCTCTGTAAGTTTATTCTGTACTGCCTGTGATATTCTGCCTGTTGCCATTGGTTTAGCAGGTGCTGGCAGTGGCGTTACTTTGGGTGGAGGTCTGGGAGGGGTGGGTAGCCTTATGCCTGAAATTCAAGATGTGTAAATTCTGCTAAAATGGTCACAGTCTTTTCACAAGAGGAGAATAGACATTGAAATATTGGAGTGGAAAAAAACTTGATCTCATCTGCTGTCATAAAGAAACTATGTATTACTCTTTAATACCAGTAATAATATTAGAGTGCTAAGCAAATCTTGACAGGACAGCAGAAAATGCATAAAAAGTGACTGGTCATGATAATTTGAAATATTATGTCACATTCTTCGCTACACAACGTCAAAATTATCAAATGCTTGAAAATATACCAAATCTAAACAAAAATATACAAGTCACCAGAAATTCTTTATTCATGAATGGCAATATATAATCTCTAGAGCAGAAAAACTTAATTTTGTCATCTGTTTATAAAGAACATTCTACAAAATTCAGTCTATTTTTAACTTAAACAGACAAACAACCTTAAAGAAAAACATTCTTGTTTCATCTACATGCTGAAAAGAATACTTTTTTATTTAAAATAATGGTACCCTGTGCCACTCTCTCCCTTTTCCACAAGTGACCCACCGTGATTCATGAGTATTGCCCTCTGCCTGTTCCCAACCTCTATCAGTTGTTGTTTCTCTTTCGCCAACTGCGTGATGTGCTTGGCAGCTTGTTTTAGCTTGCTACGAAGTTGATCAACTGTCGCACTTTCCGTAGGGCCTCTGATTGGTTGGTCAGGGATCATGTGGTCAGGTCTGCCGGCAAGTTTGTTTTGTAGTCTTTTGATCTCATCTTCCAACTGCTGTATCATGAGCTCCTGAAAAAGATAATAACTAACAGGAATAAATAAATACATCTAAAAAAACTTGAAAAAAAATGTAATATATGATAAACTTCAAGCTTAATATGTATATACCAATTAAAAGTAAGTGTTTGCTGCACCCGTCTATTCCATTACAATGCTGAAATCAAGTATCAATTTTGGGGGATTATAATTGCAAATCTGAATACAGTTACTTCTGAAGTGTCAAAGTTCCATTATATTTAAAGTGACTCCATGGTTAACACTGTTCATATCTCAATGTAGAGTGGCATGCAAATCCAATACCAACCAGTGCAAGTTGATGCAAGTGATGTATTACGTACCTGACCTCCATAGTTTATTCCTGGCGTCTTCTGTGCCAAGTCAACTTTGAGGCTTGATAACTACAAAATAAATAAATAAATAAATAAATAAATAAATAAATAAATAAATAAATGAATAAAGGAAAAAAGAGTAAAAAGTGTGTGCCACTCAATTGAAAGTTCTGGATCAATTACACACACACACACACACACACACACACACACACACACACACACACACACACACACACACACACACACACACACACACACACACACACACACACATTAAACACGCATGTACACACTCAATGAAAACAACCATTTGGTATTCACTGAAAACTGAAATACAATCATCAAATACATGGACCCAGAGATAAGTTAAAAAGACTTAGCCTAAGTCTTCCTTTTTTTCTTTTGAGCAGCCCTGTATTTCTTCTCTAAAAAATGATGTTCATAAACCTTCTTAAATTTTGCAATTCTACATGAAGTTTAAATCCAAGGAATATGTAAAATTAACTGCTTGATGCTGCATACAATAAAGTTATTTCTGAGTTTGGAACTTTAAAGCATACAAAATAATAATAATACAGAGCAGATGCAAGCACAAGAAAATGTATCAATAACATAATGATTTTTTTTTGCAATGAAATCCCACCTCTTTTGTGTTTAAATTTCTGACTTCCACCTCACGTATCAGAGCCATTATAACAAAGCATGTCTCCAGCGCAGGTGGACACTATTAAGTGCGAAATAAAGGTCAATATCATAAGCCCCTAAAACATTTCCATCCAAAGAAAGTACTACATTTGACAAGAAAAAAAAGGTTAATGGCCATGAAATATTGCAATCAAAATTTATAAATAACTTTGACCGATATCAAAGTCATTATGTAGCAAGCTTGATCTCCCCTGAATAAATTAGGCATTTTTTTTTTACTTTGTTTCTTGTAATCCATTATTATTCTTGTCAGGCAGCAAAACAATAACAAATTTGTAGAGCATCTTGAGCAGCTGACACCAAGCACAGCATGGTCGTTGTTCGACACTGTAAACACATGATTTTTATTCAACAAAGAACTTTGGCATAGTTTCATGAAAAATAAAAAAAAGCGGGAAATAATTTCCATGTGCTCAAGATTCACCTTTTCAAACTTTCATTCATAAATTTTCTGTATATAAGTATTTTTTAAGTTAAGGGAAGAAAAAAGTGATATATTCCCTTATAAGAATAATCAAGCCACTTATGGACATGATTTTCAAGAAGTTTATAAGGAGAAGCCTTTGTGCTTGGAATAACCTTTTGTTATTATGCATAACATATGAACTTCAGCACAAAAACTCTTCAAGGTTGTTCTAGATATAGGACTCAATTAACATACAGTCTTGACAAGGCAGCAAAGCTGTCAAATGTACAGACAAAAAGCAGAAAATAACAATGCACAAAACAGGCTACTGTCAATTCTGATGCAAAAGTACATTATGCTTAACTGCAAATTCAACATCAAATTTTAATTATGCTCAATAGGTAATACCAATGTAAGTGAAATGTGTAACAAGCGTAAGGCTTCAGGCCCATGGGAGTTTAAGTTCACACTTTGAAAATGCCAGAATGAGAAAAATGAAAATTTCACATAAAACTGCTTAAATTCAATAATAAATGATAACCCATTTGAGCTGGCTTTCTAATTTGAACTGCATGCCAATCCTACAAATCATACTTGTAAGTTGAAAATAATAATAAGTAACATAGTTTTCTTTTCATAATGTTTGTAGTAGCAGTGCAAAAAGATTTTTGTCAATTTTGATGTAACATTACATAATAAATTACAGAATAATTATCACCAATTTTTGATTATTGACTATAAATAGCNTGCTTGACAATGTTGATGTGTGTATGTGCATGCGTGTGTGTGCATACATGTGTGTGGGTGCAAACATGCATGCAGTTTGTTAATTTCTGTGTAAGTGTCAACATCAAGTAAATGAAACTAGGATAAAATGCTATCAACAAAGACGATATCAAAATAGAACAGAAAATAGAGTTTGCAAACAAGTAACTTTCTGCTTCAATGCTGAAATGTTAATTTCATTATTAACAGAAAGGAAAACTGCTATTCCGCTATCAATTATTAGAATATTCTCCTATAATGTCTGAAAGTCATTATTAATGCATAATTCTTTTTTTTTATATCAATCCAAACGTGCAGCAGCATCATCAAAGTTTGGGAGGTAATTATGTTAAGTAGGTGTAGCTGCAGAACAAAATGGGTTCCATGAGTCATTAATTCCAGAGTCTATAGAAAAAAAATGACTCAACATTCCAAGGGATGTTCATATTATCTTGCTTAAAATTCTCACAGTCCACCCAAATCTTAAAGTTAACAACTTAGGGTGGGTATGGGAATTTTCATCTGAACCAGGAATTATATGACATCACAAACACGCCAAAAACAAGACAGTCGTATCATGCAAATGACTCTTTTCAGTCACTTGACAAGTTGGCTAATGGCTTTTCATCAAGGAACAATTAGCTACGGATCTTACCACCCTTGCGTTCCAGTCAAGTTTTGCCCGTTGTTAACTGTAACCACAAAGTTGGCCGAAAGAATGCAGTGAAAAATTAGGTAAACCTTGTGAGCTGTACCATACTCCCATTATGGCTTGCCTAGCATAATAATAAGACGGCTGAAGTGGGAGGTGATACTGTCACTCATAAATAAATCAGAGGATCTACAAATGTCCCCAGTATTAGGGGGAAACTACTTGACTGATTCAGTTTGAGGCTCCGACACTATCCTTAATGGACAGAATACTTTCGTGTCAAAGTTTTACTCTTCGGAGTTACATTAAGTGAATATCGTACAAAAGATAAAAGACTCTACCTAGAAAGTTTTGGAACATGGAAGATTCAGTGTAACAAGAAGGTGAGTTTGAAAGCCGTACAGGCAATGTCTGCCACTGCCAGTTGTTTAAAAACCAATTGGTGTCTTTGTTGTCTTATTCTGGCACGTTTCAACATAATAAATGGGTTATAAGAATATAAATCTTAACCCATAATGAATAATGTCACCAACCATAACTTCTCTGAAGTTAATGTTTACAAATCAAGAGAGTAGTTCTAAGAAATTTGTGGGATTAGATATGGAAAAATATTCAATGGACATTCTTTTGATCTTTATATTAATTTTCTTGCCCTCAGGAACTATCAGCCTACCAATTAACCAAAAAATACTGTTATACTTAAATTATTTGAAAATTGTATTCAGCTGATAAGGAAAAAAAGTACTGTCTATATTATTTTCAATGCTGACAAATATGGTATCTTTATACATAGGCAGAACTCCCTGTTCATCAGGCACATGACAGTTTTCCAGGACATAAAAAAACAGGTCCCAAAAATAACAAAAGAACTGATACTGTCCATTTAAGTGTTAACAACAGTCTTCAATGCCAAGAGATGAAAGTGGACCTATATAAAAAACAACCATGAAAATGCAAGCCCCATGGAAACAGTGCTCTTTGTGGGGTCTGGGGGCATAAATACAACCCCTAAATTTCTGTATAAATTTGAAAAACTTTCATCTCAAAAGACCAAATTTTATTGCTTTTCTTTCCCTTATAAGCTGAAAACCTAGTATCTGTTATTGGGTAATGAGGACAATTTCATAAAAGCACTTTATGCTCAAAGATGGGTCTTTACTTATAGACTAAAATTCTGGTCTACTTCAATTGAGGTGTGAAGCAGTGCACTAAAATAGAATCACTATTACACAGGTCTTACGTACCAGCAGTTTTCCCATATGAAACAGGTGCAATATTTCATTTCATTAGGCTAATACCGATTTATTTCTTTAGACAGAGATAAGCCATTTTGTGAAACAGGTCCCAATTTGTGCATCTTAAATTGGCAAAACGTGTATTATTGGTATCCTTTAAGCTTTTACTTTGGCCTAATTTTCCATGCCCAATTTGGCAAGTGGTGAAAAATTAAAGGTTGCAACTCTGCCACAAGAATAGTGGTGTTTATTTTGTATATATATAACCACTGCAACCACTGTTATGCTTATTTACAGAAAAAAACTTAATCCAGAATCGCAATTTCTCAAATATCTCTTATCACTTTCTGCACTATGTATTAACAGCTACATTTGGTATGGTCCATATTTTTTCTAAATATTTAATAGGCCATCTTGTTTTTTAAAGCAAAACTGATCAGCATTTTCCCTAAGGTTTAGTTAGCACCAACTGATTAGTCTATAATTTTCTTAATGTGCCAAGCTCTTTTTTTTTGTCTGCTAACCATACTTAACTTACCCTATCAATGGTTTCAGTTACACTTAGTTAAGGAGTAATGCTCTCTTTCCTATCTTGAATCATATTACCTCTTCCCTTTTAAATTAAATGATAAAACAAAATCTTTACAAAATAGCAAACGCACACATTGACTTTTTAAATCTTTGCATAGAAAAAAAAATCCTGAGAATTAAAAACTTCTGCATAGATTTTGGACAAGGTATATCTTTCTGAAATTTCCAGGAATTTTTTCTATTTTCTTTATAAAAGTGAAATGCACTCTGTATCCCTTCAAAGATAAATAAGCACATTTTTAAATTCATTTATTTACTTTCACACTGGTCTTATTAAAATAAGACTAGTGTGAAAGTAAATAAGAAATTTCAAGAATACTTGAGTGTCTGTGAGAGAAGTTAATAAGGAATAACACTTATCAATGGAAAAAAAAACAAAAAAACAAAACAAAAACGTAATTTAGAAAAATTAGACTTACACCAAGAACACAATCTCTGAAGAAGAGGCTACTGAAAACAATACTTATTCAATTAATTTTACAGGACATCATCTAAAAAGAAAATAAAAGAAAAACACCAGAGCACCAATAATATTAGAATGAGCAAAAAACTAATAGAGAAAAAGCACTTAATTCTACAAGTATGAATGACTCATATATTCATCCACTTTAAAGGCACCTTATGAGATAAGGTTACTAGATCATCTTTGGGAAATCTCTTAATCTTCCAAACTGTGCGACATTGAGGTTAACAAAAAGGCCATGATAAGAGA